TCTCTGAGACCTAATATTAAGATATTATTCTGAGTGCATGTAATAGATAAACAACTAGCAAGTATGAAAGTACATATAAGAATTGGTTTCTATAGGAGCCTCAGATACCACAGATGCAACACTACTGATTGAAAAAGTCTGCTTATTTTTTGCCGTTGGGTAGGAAGAACTGTGTAATGACTCAGCTGCAGCTTTCCATTAACCTCTGCAATATTTTGATGCCGAAAATAAGTGTCTAACATAGGTTTCTATCAGGTATACTAATAAGGGTATTAAAGAATTTAGCAGAGAATAATGAATAATTGCAGTGGGAATGTAAAAAACAACATAACCACCAGAAAAAGAAAACACCATTTTTTTCAACCTACATTCTAGTGAGATTTATTTTTCCCTTGTGCTCAACATTGTGGTGATGCTATGTCAATGGCAAAATTTAACCTGGCTTCTGTTCTTCATGTCATGCTCCAAGTTAAGTCAAGTTAACCACCTGGTTCTAATTACAGAGCAGCCTGCTGCCCAGGTTTTTGTGTGTGTCGATGTATGTGTGTATGTTGCCACATGCATATTTGTAGAATTTATTATACCATATACCATTCCCAGTGCTTACATATTTCCCCATTCCAACTACTACTTTCACTAGATTCCATAATTAAGAATACTGTGATTTAAATGTTCTGTGATATATTTCGGCACCAATGTATGGAAGTGTTACTTTAAAATATGTATATATTTCCATGCCAAAATGGAAAGGGGCCCACTTCAAATAAAAAGGGTTACAAATTTGAAAAGCATGATTAGTCTAATAAGGAAACAAAGAACAGTTTGGTAGTTATATCTTCAGAAACCAAAAAAATGTATATTGTACTGCTACTGATATCTTAATTGTGATAAGGATAAACACTTATTCAGAAAGAAGCATAACTCTTTAAAGCAAGTTTGACCCAAAGAACATTTACTGAGAAAATGTGCTCATTGGGAGCTATAGCAGAATACAAAGCACATTAAATTGGACTGATAGAATTAAAAATATCAGTCTAATATTGATTTTTAGAACAAGTCACAGTCCCTTTTATGCAGAATCCTCACAAACACCATTACAGTCAAGGAACACAGGTCAAGGGATATGTGTATCTGAACAGTTATCACTATAATACTCAAATATTTGCATCTTGAATTCACTTATCTGTATTATTCCTTAACACAGGGGTCTTCAAACTTGGCCCTTTTATGACTTGTGGACTTCAACTCCCAGAATTCCTCAGCTAGGCACGCTGGCTGAGGAATTCTGGGAGTTGAAATCCACAAGTCATAAAAGGGCCAAGTTTGAAGACCCCTGCCTTAACAGATCACAGGGTACTACTTTTCTGTTTGCTTACAGACACGTGCATGCATAAGGAGGCCAATGAACAATATATAGTTTTCACAGAGGTTTCAAAACTCTGGTTCTTTCTAGAGCGGCCACCAAAGAAATTTCTATAAAACCTGTTACAACCATTCATTCATGTAATGCTTAGCCTTAGACTTTTCCCAAACCATACAAATCCAGTTAAGCCTTTTCCTAGCTTTGTGGCTGAGCCCAAGAGTCATGCCCTGATAGACCTATAAATCATATTGGTCCAATCTCAAAGCAGGAAATTTGTGATAAAGTTATAATTGCTTGGTTGTTTTGAAAAACAAAGTTAAAGGATTAACCTTCTGAAACAAAAATATGTGAGCAGCCACAGTACACTTGGAAAGGAGTAAAGATCAAGCAACGGATTGGATTAATTACCCCAGCAAACTTAGCAACATACTATTAAGGTATGCTGTTAAGAAGGCTTGTTTAAGAAGCATAATTTATTTCGCTTAAAAACTCCATCTTGGACTCAGCTCAAGAACTGATCTCTGTTCAGTTTTACCCATAATGTGCCAAAAATATCAGAGTCTGCATTTTGTCTTTATTTTTCCCCAGAGTTGCTAGACAAATCCTTGGGCAACCTTACAATATTTTAATTCAGCTACTAAAAAAAATGAATCTAATATCTTTGCATTCCACCACTCCCCACAAAAAACCTCCACTTTCATTTTAACTGCAAATATTCATTTTCTAACTTCTAATGTTTTTCCTGTAATTCCTACAGAAGTATATGCTATGTAGTTTTCCCTTTTCAATTTATTCCTTGACACTATCAACAAATGAAACAAAATTAAGAACAAAACACATCTAAAGATTTTTTTCAGTTTCCATTAAACTTTCTCTTTCTGGGATGCTGATATATTTTCTGAAATACAATAAAATATACAATTATTTTGATAAATTTCAGTAAAATCTTAGTGTTGATACCAAAGCTCACTTTTTCTTGACGTAAGGAAAAGGATGTAAGGGAGGGGCATGTTGGAAAATAAATTATTCTGATTTTTTTAGAATTACATATTATGAATTGTCAGAGAACTAGTTTATAGTGGTCTTCACCTACTTCCAAAACATTGTTTTCATTTCCAACAGAATCTATTTCTATCTTATCTGCCTCTTTTAATCCTAACAATTGTTTCCTTTTCTCTATATACACATTATTCACTACAAATGTTGCAGCTAACATTTTTTCCTATCCATAGCTTCTTTCACTCCAGCCTCCAGCCTCTTTTACTTAATCATTCCATTAAACATCTTTCATACTTACTCATTCTTGAGAATGTAACTGGTCTATATACCCAGTTGCCTTGTTCCATTCTATTCATTTATGTCACCAAACAGAATAATTTCTCCCCTGTATCAATCAGTCAGAATACTGCAGATTTTCCATAAAACTCCATTTTTAATAATAATAATAATAATAATAATAATAATAATAATAATAATAATAATGATGATGATGATGATGATGATGATGATAATGATGATAATGATGTTGTTGTTGTTGTTGTTTATACGGGATTTGAAATATAATCTCCTTTATTATACACCTTTATAATTAAAAGTCATTATTACCTTGCTTGATGTCCCCTCAAGGGAAAGTGCTTTACTTAAAAAAGACAGTTGAAGAAAGTATATCTATTCCCTCTATTATTGTGGGCTTCTAACCTCTCCCACTCCTTGCTCTTTTTCAAGCCAATTACTTTAATACGGGTATCATTAAATTATGCTGGAGCTTGTTATTACAAGAATCTAAGTGTATAGGTAAGTATTAAAAACCAAGGAAGAAGGTGCAAACAAAGCAGACTGCTCAAGAGGTCAAAAAGAGAATTCACATTCTAACTTTTCTATTTTGAGTCACCATGGATGGTTGGATATAGGATAATAATAATAATAATAATAATAATAATAATAATAATAATAATAATAATAATAATAATGATGATGATGATGATGATGATGATGATGATGATGATGATGATGATAATGATAATAATAATAATAATAATAATAATAATAATAATAATAATAATAATAATAATAATAATAAAGTTGGAAGGGACCTTGGAGGTCATCTAGTCCAACCCCCTGCTCAGGCAGGAAACCCTACACCATTTCGGACAAATGGCTGTCCAGTCTCTTCTTAAAAACTTCCAGTGTTGGAGCATTCACCGTTTCTGGAGGCAAGGAGTTCCACTGGTTAATTGTTCTAACTGTCAGGAAGTTTCTCTTTAGTTCTAGGTTGCTTCTCTCCTTGATTAGTTTCCATCCCTTGCTTCTTGTCCTGCCTTCCGGCACTTTTGACTCCCTCTTCTTTTGTGGCAGCCCCTGAGATATTGGAACACTGCTATCATGTCACCCCTCGTCCTTCTCTTCATTAAACTAGACATACCCAATTCCAGCAACCGTTCCTTATATGTTTTATCCTCCAGACTTCTATGCTTTTTTTCTTATCAGTATACAAATATGGAAACATGCAAGTATCATCAACCTATGAAATTCTGTTTTCATACAGAGAACTCCATGACAATAACTTAATACTAAGCTGGAGAGGTGCTCCTCTTATCAGCTTGAATTGTATTTTTGAGGAAATTGTATTTTTTACATCTGCCTATCTATCTTTTAAATTATAACTCACCTTGTGTTCATTTGCAGAACAGCAATATGTAACAACATACACACAGAACTCTTCCATCTTATATAACAAGTGAATATGTTATTGTAAAATTTCATGCGTAATGTATGACATCACTTCTATACACTACTTTGCATCGCACTTAGTAAACGGTGCCATTCAAAACAATTCCAAATGTATAAATGTGGTATTATGCAAGCACCTTCTGAGTCAATTCTCAAATAGAAGCTGTGATTCACACTGTTTTGTGATGTCTCTTTCAAATGTCATTCAGGGCCTGTGTCTCAGAATAAGTCACAGGGTTCAGTGCTAGGCAAAATATTTAAAATGCTGGGTTAATAATAGAAAAATTCTAGAGGTACTTGTTATGAAAAAGCCGATGTTCCTTATGTGCTTGCAGAATGTCGCTACAGATTGGCACTAATGTCTTCACAAATAACCGAACAAATAGCATCACATTAACATTCCTTTTTTGTGCTTTTTTTATTCCATGAATTAACGTGATGATGGTGCTCCAATGGAGAAGCTGAAGGACCAGGTTGGGGACAGATTGCCTTGGAGAAAAATCTATCTATGTGGTCGCTAAGAGGTGACATCAGTTTGATGGCACATAATCAATCGATGAGAATGCCATAGAAATAGATCTGTGCTGCTTAATTCCTCTATCAATGGCACTTGGAAAACAGGCTAATTTCTTAATTAAATATAACTCAGTCAAATGTTTGAACTTCAACAGTGATTAGGATCGCCTGGTGCAAGCATCTCTTGAGATATTATTGCATAGATTTCCCAACCTACAGCCCTCTAGATATGTTAGGAGTATAACTCATAGAATTTCTAGCCAAAAGCACTCCTGGGTGGAGATTCTCATAACTGTACTTCTAACATATCTGGAGGGCATCCAACTGGGAAAGAGTGAGATCAATCTTTCCCATAGTTAGGTTATGCTCCTCTCCTTTTCATATTACGTACCTTTCCTCCTTCATTAAATCTTCCTACAAGGTAAAACCATTCCCGAGAACAGAACCATGTTGGCATAATTACTGTTGGTCCATGGGATGTGAAAACCTAGAAACAGAATGAGAAAATAGCCTATTATTTTTCAAAGAAGCATAGTTCATAAGAAATAAATTTGAGACCCAATACTTCTTCTCTGCTAAGGCTGAAAGTCAGGTAAGTATTTTTTTTTAGAGAAAAGGGTTGTTTTGTTAAGAAAACTGAGTAATATTTCAGGACAAGTAAGAAATGCTATGAATACTATAATAAATTCTAAATATTTAATTACAAAGCTGCAGTGGGAAAGAGTATTGTTAATTGGTAGAATGGTACTGAAGGAGGCAATAAACACTTTTCCATGAACTGTATTTCCCCTCTATCTCTCTCCTTAGAACAACTTAAAGGATGGGCTATATATAACACCATTTAGATCACAAAACCAACAAGTCAGGAATGAAACATATTCCCAAAATAATCATTTTTCCACACTAAAGCACAACTGAACTCAGGAACTCAGATTACAAATCTGAGATCATGCGTTTTGCAATATCTCATCTTGGTTTTGTTATTAAAAATTTATGCATTTGTGTCAAAAACATAAGGAATCCCAATATAAAACTTCCTTTTTACAACCCTGTGAACCCTTAATTCGGGGTAGAGTTGGGGCAACTAGATGGAGCTGAGCATTTACTGGCTGGATGCCCTTCCTGACGCCACGTGGAGTCTGCAGCAAATATTTTTTCCTTGCACCCTAAGAGAGAAATGTCTGCTGCTATTTAGGATTGAACTTTCAACCTTTTGAGTGGGAGACGAGTGTCTTCACCACTAGGCCACCATGCTGCTCATAAGGACCCCAATATATGGTCTGTTATTTATATGTGATATTCTATAATGGAGTTAATGGACTCCCTAGACAAAGTGCTGTTGACATTTTCTGCCAGTAATTTAGAAGTAGCTCTTGCATCTGAAGCTTGTCATGTTTCTTAGATTAAAATAAAGAAAATTTAGTGGTAATCTACATCTTGTTCTATGGCATGTAGTGAGTTTCCCATAAGAACTAAACTTCATAAACATGAAATAAAGTAGTTGGAAACTAAGCACACCTGTAATTTTACTGTTTATATATTATATGACAAAATTAACAACTAATGGAAAGTGCTGTCTTAGAACAAAATCAAGTGGAAAGTATTTGAATGACTCTGTAACAGCCTTAGGCAATTGGTATTTAGTAAAATTTATTTTATGTCCAAGTAACATCTATAAAATAAGAACAAAAATGGCACACATCAATAGAAATATTGGCAAATTTAATTAACCTAAATATTTACACAGAAAACTGAAGCAAACTAGTATCTAGGAAAATAAATGAATGTGACCCTTGATTTGTATATTTCTGAACGACAGTTTCAGTGAATTATACCAACAAAGCCTTTTTTGCTTTAAACAAGTATGTCTTAAACCTAGAGCTGAAATAAACCAGAATATCCGGATTATGTAAGGTAAATCTATTTTTTTCCATTAATATAAGACAAAATGTCCAACATGTCTGCAGACTAATCTTCTTGTCAAGAAGTTAAAGGAGCATAGTGCATTCTGCCTTAGGTATTATATCTAAAGCTACTTTTATGAGCTAAGCAAACACAGACATATATTAGTTGTTTCCACCTGCTTCTTGTGGACTTAACCTAGCTCATTCACAGTGTATAGGTGATCCATACAATACCACTATCCATTTATTATTCTGCCATATTTTTGCAGTGCTGATTCTTTCACTGATTCCCTTGTTCCATTACAACTTCCCTACATATTCTTAAAATGCTCTTTAAAAGTATTTTTTTTTAAAAAATGAACTTAACCCAATAGCCATCATCTAGGATGCCAGATCTGCACAATATAGTTCATCTATAAACTAACTTTGTAATTTTTAAAATACATGATTCCACCTCCCTCCTTAATTCTTCTTGAAATCCCATTCACTGTATGTTTTGGCTGCAAGAAAAATAATCATATTCCATACCTAATGTTCTACAAATCTGTAAGGCAAAACATTATAAAAAGAAAATGGTCTAATTCTGAAGCAATTCTAATTATTTAACATATTTAAACCATTTATCCCTAGCAACATTGTATATGCCATTCTTATTATCTTGTTTTCAAGGTTTACCATAGTTTCTAAAATCATTCTGAATATAATTAGTATAAAGGACATAAAGGCAATATTGAGACTATAGGAAGAGTAATTATCCTGAAAGATCACTGAGGAAAAATAGCCTTAGGATCATATATAAGATAACTCAGTAGAGAGATTTCCAATTATGAGTAGCTCCAATTCTTATATTATCCATATAACAGATGAATATATATCATTGTTTCACTCCATACCTACCAGTATATTCTTTCTCCTGTCACACCAATAACAAACAGTATCGGTTTGACGAAGCGAAAGTTATCAGCCATGCCAATTTTTTTCAGAATAGGTATATTCAATAGTATTGTCTATTGCTTCAGCCACACAGTCTTATTCTAAATTTATTCACATAGAACTGTTGGCATTTTAACCACTTGTCTTTCTGAAGCTTTAAAAAGTTCAGTGGAAATTCCATCTGCATCTGTTTCTTTCCTATTGAATGGCTAATACTCACTTTCTATTGGTGTTAGTTTCTGAATATACAGTATTCTCTCTCAATAAATATTTCAGTCATTTAAAAATCCTTATTGTATACGGTTTCACTGTTGCCTTTCTATTTTGTTTTAAACTCATTTGCTTCTGTTATCATTTATTTCCACTAGTAGTCTTAGATAGTTGTACCCAAGCCGTACATTTTCCAATGATCTCTCTGATCTTCTAAAAGTTCTCTTATTTTCCTTTATTTGTTGACATTCTTGACTGAGATATCTTTTCTCATCCTTTCTTTGTTTGATATTGAAAGTCTGTATTCAGTTATAATGTCCTTGTTATCCAAGGCTTTTGTCCTTCGGCTATCATGTTGCTTAGTTTTAAAAGCCATTTTAAATGTTCAGTGAATATCCATTTCTAATAGATACATTCCTTTTGTCTGTTTGGTTATAGCTAAGCACATACTTTACAATATCCATTTTGAGTATCACTGCCATTCCATTCCTTCATTCAGTCGTTGCATTAAGTACTACATAATGCATTAATGTTAAAATGACTTGTTCTGGACCAAATCAACTAAAATGTGTTATTTAACTCTGTCTTTCAAAACACATAGCGTTCTCTCAAACTCTGAGTCCAAGTTCCAGAGTTCTTTCCAATTTTGCAATTGGAAAGAAGAAACATGAAAAGGGCAGAAGGTATCCCTGCATATTTACAGGTGCATCCAAAGCTTAGCAGAATCAAGAAAATGAATCCTATCATTATCTTTAACAATAATTAAAAAATCCTGTAGCTAATAATGTTCTCTAATAGAGTATGGAATACATATTATAGTAATCAGAAATGTTGGGCTCCCTTTTCTAAAGTTATTTATTTTCTTTGAGTCCTCAAATAAATTTATTGGTATTGAATTGATCAGTACTCCTGAACTTTTTTTTTTCTCAACTTTTTTTTTCAACTTTTTTTCAAAAGCATCTTTGGATTTTTTGGGACAACCATGAGCAGGATGATAGAGAATCTCCATAGACAATATACCTGAACATTTGTAGGTTAAAATTAAATCTCTTTTCTTTCAGTTTCTTCATTTCAAGAAAATATATGGAGAGAAGCAGGCAGAAAAAGAAATAATGAATTTAAACATAGAAAATTACAGGTAGCTAAACAGATAATCAGAAAGTAAAAAAAGGGAACTAAAGACATATAAGAGAAACTACATTTTTGAAGATTTCAAAAACAAAACATCCCAACTGTCTAATTGCACACAAAATATATTGATGTACTTCATCAGATTGCTATTAGCCTTCATTTCAGAATCTTCTACAATAGTCTGAATAACTAAGTCCCAAAATATTTCATTATGAATAAAAACACTTGTGATGGAACAGAAGGTAGGGAGGGGTAGTTAACTAGACATACTATGAATCATGAATGAGAGGACAACTCTCTCTAACAGACACACTGGCTGAAATTCTGAGTGATGTATACCTTAAACTGTACATTTGGAAGTATTAGAATGGGAAATGACTAGTTTAGGTTTATTATATTTAGCCTACAATAAGATAGAGAAGTTATTATATGCCAGGCCATTCATTGATGAAAGCACCTTGAGAAATGTATAAGTTAACATACCCTATTAACTGGCAATGTATTTTCAACAAAACAAATGAACAGACCCAACAGAAGAAACCATACCCTCTTTTGACTGGGTTGCAAAGTCATAATATCTAGCTTTCCTTTACCATAAAAAAAACTCATGAGATTATTACAAAAATCTAATTTAAAACCAGAACTACATCCAGTTAATTACTCATTTAATATATATGAGTAATATATACCCAGCCTAAATGGGTATATATCTTGCAAAATAAAATATAATAACTAACAGATGAAATATACTAAAATCTATTAAAGAGTACAAACTTTAAATGTGCATCTATAAAATTACATAAACAACTAAAATATTAAAACAAATAAACTATCTACAAACAAACTTGACGGAACAAATGTTTTCAATCTTTTTTTGTCTTCTGCAAATCTGTTATTACAATTACTTGCAATCATATTGCAATCATCCCACCCAGAAAGAAGGAACAAAAGGAACAAAACCTACACAGCTCTTTTTTTCAAAAGGTGGGAATTACACCTCCCCCAGCATCTCAAACTTCCAAACATTTCTTGACAGTTACTGCCAAACCCTAGAGCAATGGGAACTTTCTAGCTTTGCGTGATGTTCATGAGAAGTGCCTAAGACACTCTTACACACGTAAATTATGCCAATTTTTGAAGGCGGCAAGACAAACTGGTAGAACAGCATTATGAATTGATATATGAATTAATCCGTAGGTGTAGATTTAGTAAGATAATGAATTCATTCTCCATTTTCTGCCTTGCCTTAGGGAACATGAAGTCATTTTTTAAACAAATTGTCTCTCGGTCAGTTTTTTCTAGCTTCAGA